ATTTTTTTCAGGAACAGCTACTGACATATTATTTGCATATGAGTAAAAAGGGCCAATATAAACGCCAGCACTAGAAATGTGTCTGTGCCACAGAGGACCAAGAGGTGGATTTCAAAAACTGAGGGATGTCTGGATTCAGCCTTTGACTTCTGCGTGCGTCATTTCTTTGTGTGAAGGTGCAGTGCCAAATCTCTGTTGCAGTCATCCTCGTATTAGCAGACAGTGCCTCTACGAACCCATAGGTTGGATACGTTGGATGGCCAACTGGCATCTCAAAGGTGGTGCCTGCCACCCATGGCGAGCTTGTCGTCTCCCAGGACTGCCCAGAAATGAAGTCAGCAGCTCCTGCAGGCTGCCGGTCCACGACGCACCAGGGACCCCAACCCACCAAATTACTCTCCTCTTCCTGTTGGCATCCAGGAGTGCTGGAGATGCTCAGTGCTTCCTCTCAGCCTGTTCAATGCAGGGTTTAGGAAACCTATGGAGCCAGTTTATATCCACTGAAGACATCTGCCCGGTTGTGCCATTCTGCTACCCCAAGCAACAGATGAGCATAAAACGGCTGTGACGGAGCCAGTCATAAATCAGGAGAGGAACCTGGGTCCTTCAAAATCATTCACAGCCTGCAGCGTGGATTTGAAATGCCATCCTCCAAACTAATAGCAAAGGAAAACTAACACATGGGCTGACCCCAAAGGTCATTGCTTTTCTTTCTTCTTCCCTTGTGTGGAAACCAGTCCACGGCAGGCCTGGCACTGCTCCTTCTCTAAGAGCCCTGCACTCAGTCCCTGCGCTGAGCCTGGTGTCAGGGAGCCGACACACGTTTAAAATTAATTGCCTGTTTTCCAGACCGCAGCTGTAATGAGGCAGACCCAGGAGCTTACTGGGAGAGGGAGATCCTCTGAGCAGCCTGTGTGTTGGGAAATGCGTTTAGAACAATGGCTGCTTTATTCTTTAATGTTGGGCTGGGTCCTGCTCCCTCTGAAAGCTGTAAGAATGGGACTCAATCTTCCCTGTGGCATAGACATGCCAGTTTAATCTATTTATAGCCCTGAACCATTTAATTTTTCTTGCCTCTATTATCCATTTATCAGCCTTCAGACAGGATGCAGTGTAGTTACTAACCAACGCTTTCTGGCCATCAGAGAGCCTTCTCGGCGAAGTACAGCCCATCTCCCTCTGGGAAATAGCAGTCTCTAGGTCAGAGATGAGGAATCCAGACTGTAGCTGCAACACTAAAATGTCTTGCAATTAGTGCCTGCTCAAAAGCATCGCAGCTCTCCTTCTTTCATTATTAAATGTTACCCCTCTTATTAGTTTAGGCTTTTCAAATCTTTTCTCCAGCTGATTAAATATTAAGGCTGGAGAACCAAAAAGGCCACTCTATATTCCTCACATCCCCAAAAGTGAAAATATTTATTGGAAAGGTTTGGAACTTGAGTTTGTTCTGAAACAAAACAAATGAAATTTGCTACTAAATAAATTTAATATCAGACTGATGTACAAGCACACAAGTCACTTGATACTCATTAGATACAAGACGACTATTGAAATGTCAGCTATGTTTTCTTTCTAAAGGCCAGAGACTTCTTCTGCGTGCAGTAGGTCAGAAGCATTTTTCAGGAGAGTGCCAAACACCCCCAGGAACATTGACTACAGGCATCAACCAGCTTTCACGTTTATTTTAATACTTGCAACTCATAATATTGAAATTCTAATAAAATTCTTCCTGAAAACAAGCTACAAATACTTTGCTGGTGTACAAGGACATGAACATTCTCACGCAGCGTTTTATTCATTTAGCTGTTTTGTATAATTATTTTGAAGCCAAAACAATTAATGATGCCCTCGACCAAGAGAATTTCCGGTATTAAAACCATCTATAAATGACACTTTGCGAAGGAAACGCCACAGGTACCGCCTTCGTACTAGCAGGACAACCCCACGCACTGGCAGCAGGGCCCGGACACGCGTGTGGTTCCCTTCACTGCTGCCCTGCCCACAGAATCCCTTTCTCTGGGGTACCGGTAGGATGCTGTGCAGGGCTGCAGTTTAACACGCTTGTTTAAAATGTAAAAATGACTCATGGGTTGGTAGTTTAGAAGGTAAATTCATTTCTGACCCTGGTTACAGAGGGAAGGGAAAGGAGGAAGTTAAAGTCTCAGTGCCCACATGTGTCCTGGCTGTGAGACAGCCCCAAAGCTTGCTCACATTTTCCAAGCTGTTCTCAAAAACACAAACTGCAGCTCAACAAATGCCCCAGGTTTTCATTCTCCGTATCGCTTGCTCTTTGCACTAATGCCAGCCAACATCTGTTCCAGATGAGAAGTCCAGAAACAATGAAAAACAAAGTCAATATAAGGACAAAATAAATAACGCCAGGAACACTGATTAGACTCTGAATCTGTGTACTCAATTCAGCAGTAAGCTCAATATTTAGAGTACGGCTACATGCTAAAATGGGGGTGTCGCATTTTCCTCCATCTTCTCCTTTCCCCTCTCCTTTGTGCTCCTCTGGCTCTTGGGGACCTGATTCAAGTTCCTAACCCAGTAGGAATCTGATAAAAAAAATAAGGGAAGAGGTTTCTGCTGGGTTACTGAGCTAAAATAGGCCCACCATATGGTCAGCTGAACACCCGTCTGCAGGAGGGAGGGGGTGGGATTGCACGGCCAGGAGCAGCAGCAGCCATGGGAAGAAAGGTCGGACCAGCAGAAAACCTCACTCTCATCATCGGGTTAATTTCCTTCAGATTTATATTTCAACTCAGCGTCAGGCAAAGCCCAGAGCTGATGGAGCAGGGAAGGACAAGGCATACCACACAGTGGTGGCAGGGAGGGTGCGTAGGGGTGTGGCAACTGGTCATGAGGTTGGCCTAAGCTGCCTTGGACATCCAGGTTTAGCTCCCTGGCAGTGCCCAGAATGCTCTTCTCACCAGAGAGCAAGGTCTCAGGCTGTGGAGGGAATTAGGGAGTTGGGTGGCAGAATCCAGGTTGCCCTGGCTGCAAGACAAACAGCAGCATGTTCTGGCACACAGAACCAAAGGGTAGTGGTTTGGTTTGGAAATTAATAGTTACTTAATAGACAGCAAATAAATAGGCTCGAAGGGTTGTGATGTATATGAATTTAATATTCCTATAAATCACGCAGCATTTCTCTTTTGTTGGTGAATTGGCACTTTCCAAACAGGTAAATTGGGCGGTGATGTTGCTAAAACATAAAAGGCAAAGACTTTCAAGAGAGGATGTTTAAAGTCAGGGATGAAAGGCTACACTTAAGTGCCTAAATGGGTGTGCCGTTTTCAGGAGTGCTCAACACCAGCAGTTATCTCAGTGGAAGCTGCTCCGAGCCTTGAGCCTCTGAAAATAGGGCATTGTGTAGGTGCTAGAATATCAGGCTTAACACACATTTTTAAGCACTTGGTCTAGATATTCAGCTCATTATTTGACTGAATGAAAACACTTAGAAAGCAGCAAGAAGTTCCATTAGCCTCTGATGAAACAACTGATACATTTACTGAAATTTGAAATGATAAATTCAAAATATTTAATGAAATAATTTTAAGGAACAAGCAGAACCATTCTGTTCTTAAGTTCACCGCTCTGTTCACCTTCTCAAGCATTCAAAGCTGAATTACCTTAACAAATGTCACAGTAGAAGGCTCCTCTTAGGTGTTTGACATTGCAAGAGGAAGCCGTGATTTCCATTCCTTGGGAATGGGATGTCAGCTTGAAATCACTTGCACTGCTTAGAACTGAGAAACATTTCATGTTGCCACCATATAACTCTTAAGAAAACAGACAGTATGTTCTGGAGCCAAATAGAGACAAGGGCAACAGCAACGTACTTCCTATTGCCATTCACTATTTTTGCCATTGTTCTCAGCTACAGGGCTTGAGAGATGGGATGGTACCCAAGGCAATCCCCAGCTGGGGAAATCTGGGATCCAGTTCTTAAGGTAAACTAAGGACTTTCCCTAAAAAGGACCTTAAGTTGGGGTAAAAACTTTCAATTCTGTTTCTTTCTGAAGCAGCCCATGATTTCCAGTTCTCCCTCCCTCCTAAGATCTGCTTTGGTAATGGAGTCCCGTCTGACACAATTTCGGTGTCACGTACCTCGTCACGTAAAGAGGCCTTTGGAAGTAACACTTCACACAAGGGTGACCCAGCCAAGTTTGCCACATGTTTGACTGTAAACAAACATATGGCAGAGATACGTCTTTTTCAAGGAGACAAGCATGGAACGGGAAAACTGAATCATCTTCGAGCTTACACACACATATAAAGCTTCAGTGATCTGCAGTCATTCACTGTACATATGATTAGGAAGAAAGAAGTCAACTCACTGCTGTCTCTGGAGAGACAAACCTGGGACTGGCAGTAGGTCAGTAAATCTCAGACCTGGCTCCTTTATGTGGGGGATCATTTATGATACACAAGGTGCCAAAAATCTGTGATGATACCATATTCAATCGTAGCCTCTGAAAAGGTGGAAATTAGACTGAGTGGCACGGTCCTGAGCGTGTAACTTGTGAAATGAGAGCCTGAGATCGCCTTACAGACCCTGGAGAGCTAAAGCCCTGTCAAGGCAATCAGCAAGGCCTTCTGAGCTGTTCAGCAGAGCAAGGGTGTCTGCTTTACCGTGCCTTGGGTAGCTCATGAAACAACATGGACTTAAGTGACTAGTTCAATATGGCCCATAATGGGATTCAACACCTAGATTTTATCTTGCACCTCCAAGAAGATATTAAAATTTAGGTATGCTAATGTGCGAGCTGAAAGCCACTGCAGCTGTCAATGCTACAGTATACTTCAGTGACACTTCTGCTTCTCTTTACCATGCTTTACTGGGGCGACTTGCTGCAAAACAGAGCTAAGGAGGAGCTTGTAGCTGATGGCGAGAGCCAAAAATAAATGTGGGATACTGAAGGTGGGGACCCAGCATTTTGTTCTGAGCACTGTTCTCACTGAAGGTGGTATTAGGCAGATAAAACTCTTGTTACCTGCAGAAATTTCCATCTGCCTCTGGCAGGGTCAGAGAAGCTACAGGATTCTTCAGGAGATCTGCCACAGTGTTATCCTTCGGCGTCACGTAAAAGAAAGGGATTCCAGTGCTGTTATTGCCAGGACCATCACTGAGAAGTAAACAGTTCCCATAGGGCATACCTTGGATCTGCAAAATCCAGATAAGCAGCTGGTTAAATCTTTGCACATAGATGGCTTACGATGCAGGGGATTCCCTCAAGGTGCTCTAGCGGAGGGGACAGCAACCCCCAGTAGCTCAGTCTCCCACTTTTCTGTTGTCATCACGAGACACACCTTCTAAAATCATGCTTCTATGAAAACAGATCTCTCCTCTGTTTCCAGTCCTGTCCTTGACACTACAGAGAACATTTTCTCTTCCACCAAATTAAAATGTTTAAGTGCATTATAATCAATGCCATCAGCATCAGGAAATGTTTACTCCAAACCAGTGCTGATACCTTTTCTCAAACCCAAAAGGACAGAGAGCCTAATTTAGCCTCGATTCAGCCTGCTTTTGACACTAATTTTGCCTCCCCTTTTTGCCTTGATTTGCAATGGGGTTGCATCCCTTTGCCAAGAGAGAGGAGAAGGCGGCATAGCCAGAGCTGTGTTTGAAGTCAAGCCAAACGGCAGCTCAGCTGCCTGGGCAGGAACCTTGGCTATGGGGGGGTCTCAGCCAGCCACCCAGCCAGAGCAAACCTTCCTCCCATGTTGGAGGAGGGACACCAGGGAGCCAAGTTTACAGAGTTTTCTCCCATACACTTACCTGCGTACACACAGGGGATATAACACATGCAAAAATGTCCTTGCCCGATAGTGACACACATTAATATTCTCCATAATGATTTATCCTCCTACTAAGCTTTTCATCCCATTATAAATCGCAATGACAGATACTTAATGAATTACTATTTTTTCATGTCTTCAGATATTTCTTTCCTCATGGTCAATTAGACGTTAAATAGTAAAATTATCAGTGCATACATTAATTCAATATAACCAGTAAATCCTATACAGAAAAATCAAATTAAGTATGAATAGTTAATAAGAAAACCCTGGATGATGTTATTACCTGGAGTGCATGCTTTCTGATTTTTAATGTTTATATGCTTTTAAAATTGTAATGCTTACAGTGCTTATAAATAGTCCTTGTTAGCATTCCTTGGAAAATCTGCCTTAATGAAGCTACAAAATGTAGAAACTAAAAATGCATGTTTATTAAGAATTATAATGAAAAAAAAAAAAAAGTAGCTGCCAGTAATATTGCAGGACGTTTCCATTGCCTAAAATGCTCAGTCTGTTCTGTCAAGCACAGTTAACGTTACCGTGGATTCTTAAAAAGAACTGCGATCGCAGGCAGCACAACTCAGCATTCAGAGCAACAACACTCCCTTCATCAGTTCCAAATTTTATTATGAATCCAATTTTTCTGTATTACTTCTGCGTTGTAACTGGAGACAGCTAACTGCAGACTGTATTATGGCCATAATTCCACTGAGGGTTTCTGGCGAGAGCACAAACCAGAAGAGTGAGGATCATACGACTGAATAGGATTTCCGACAATCTGATGTAGAATTACAGGCCTCTTGTGTGTACCTATATATCTATTTAACGGTATCTTTTTTTTAACCTGTTACTGTGGATTTCACAATAACATGAACTGCCACTAACTCAGCCGAGCTTTCTCAAGATTAATGTGCTTCTAACTATGTCTATTTTTTAAACTATATGTTAATTAATCTGTGAACACTTCCAAGACAAAATACCATTTTTTGGTTTGGTTTGGGTTTTTTCCTTTTGCCTGAGTGGTACTGGATGTTGTGTCTAATTCCAATCTTTTGTTTCAAAAAGGGAAATATTTTAGAGCTGGAAAAAAATAATGACCCTGATTCTCCAGAGCCCAGGGGAGGCAGAGAGGGCCCTGGTCACCCCCTGGGATAGGGGCAGGTGGCGTGGCCAGGAGCGGGCTGTGAACATGCACCCCTGGCTGCCAGGAGTGACAAACCCTCTCCCCCACACTGGCCTTGGACCTTTCGTTCTGGCGTCGAGATTTTGAGGTTTTCTGTGCCTCACATACTGCTCTCCCAATGTGGTAAGGCTGAAGGAATTGAGCTTGTTCAGCCTGGAG